AAAGAAAGAAAGAAAGAAAGAAAGAAAGAAAGAAAGAAAGAAAGAAAAAGAAAGAAAGAAAGAAAAAAGAAAGAAAGAAAGAAAGAAAGAAAGAAAGAAAGAAAGAAAGAAAGAAAGAAAGAAAGAAAGAAAGAAAGAAAGAAAGAAAGATTATGTCAAGTTAAAGAGAACTCCAATCTGACAGATAGAAAAAGAAGAAAAAGGTATTTCAGAAGTACAGAATGAATATGCTATTTTTGATCTATCCAGGCTCGCCATGAAGTGGAGGTGCAGGACTTGCTAAAGGAAAGAGAAAAGAGGATTTCATCCTTGTGTTGCCTTAGCAACAAGCCGATGCTTGGTCTCTTCCTGCAAGGATTGTCAAAACAAGCCTGTCTATACACCAGGGCTTCTGATGAGAAGAGGCATGCAGAGGAAATCAACAGGGAGGAGGGAATTCAGCCCTGGTGCGTCTTTCTCCGGACTCTGCCTCCCTCTGTCCCTGACTTGTTACAGCCAAAGGAAGCACCACCTGCAACCCCAATTCTATGTGCAAAATTCAGACTTTCAAATCTTGCTCCAACCTGACTGATGGGACTGAATGTCTTCTACTGCACTGAAGGGACAGAAAGGAGCCTTTTTAACGGAGAAAGAGAGAGATTAACAGAGTTGGAAGAGACCTTGTAGATCACCTAGTCCAGTGGTCATCAACCAGTGGGCCGGGGATCACTGGTGGTCCATGAGAAAATTTTGGTGGTCTGCAATTTTGGTGGTCACCCCCCCCCCAAAGCAATTAATCCAGACTGCGCAGGAACACAAGGCTGTGCTACCCACATGGCCTATGGGAACACAAGGCTTGCGTCGCTTGCATTGTGAACAACACAAGGTAGTGAGGGGAGGGGGGAAAGGGCAGAGGGGGGGGAACTTGCTCCACTCACCCCACATGCCTGGCCTGGCCACTGGGCTGCTTCTTTCCGCTTCTTTCTGCTTCTGCTTTTGGCTGCACACAAGGAAAGCAGCAAAAGTCTTTCTTTCTTTCCCTCAAACTCCATCAGAAATGAGTCTTTGGGACCCTGCAAGGCCTCCTGCTCCAAGAGGCTGTACCGGCGTGACAAGTCTTACAAAGACTGGTGGAATTTGGGGGAGAGAAAGAATGACTTCTGCTGCTTCTGGTGCTTTCCTTGCAAAGTCTCTCTCTCTCTCTCTCTCTTTCTCTCTCTCTCTCCCCCTGTGAATGGAGCTGGAGACGGTAACCTGCGATCCCAAATAAAGAATGATTGATCAATGGGCAAACGGGGTGGGGAATTTTCCTGCAGACTTTTGGGGGGATTTTCCCAGGGTCTCTGATCCACAGGATTTAAAATTATGAGTTTGGTGGTCCCTGAGGTCCAAACGGTTGGCAACCCCTGCTCTAGTCCAACCCCCACCACCACCACCTAAGCAGGAGACCCTACACCATTCCTGACAAATGGCTATCCGGTCTCTTCTTGCCTTTGATTACTCCCTGACCTCCACCTCAGTTTGTCAAATATTATCTTGGAATTTATTGCAGCTCCGCCATGACAGTTATGTGGGAAGCATTCCTCAGCTTAGAACAAGGGTGTCAAACTCAATTTCATTGAGGGTCGCATCAGGGTTGTATTTGACCTTGGGGGGCAGGGTGGTCAGGGGTGTGTGGCCAGAGGGCATGGCCAGCTCAACGTCACTCGTGTCAGGGGCGCCTGTGGTAACCAGAGCGCTCTGCCCATGAAAACGGGCTCCCAAACTCCAATTTCAGCTGCAACGGCTTCCTGCAATCCTCTGCCAGTGAAAATGGGTAGCCCTCCCAAGCTCCATTTTTGCTGGCAGAGGCACCGCAGGCCAGTCCTTCGCTGTTTTCACAGCGGACCCATGGGCCAGATCTAAGCACCCCACAGGCCGGATCCAGCCTCCAGGCCTTCAGTTTGACATGCCTGGCTTTGTAGATTCAGACTTTGAGGGAGAGGAGGAACAGCCGACAGGGAGTAGAGGTGTGGCTCTGTAGGTTGTGGAGGAGGCTGGGGAAGGGCAGAGGCCGGCTGGGCAGTCAGAGGAAGAACCAGGCCCATCCCCTCTGCATCCTAGGACACGCAGGGAGGAACAGAGAAGGAAACAACTTGGCTTACGAGAGAGGAAGCGGCCATGATCCTCCTCCTTGGTTGCAGCTGGGGAGACTAATATATAAGAGAGACGATTACAACAGACCAGATCTCCCTTCCTCTACTTTGCCACATTGGTTCATGTTGTCTAGCGTTGTCCACAATATTGTTACCTCAAGAATTGTCAGTCTTTGAGGTAGGCCAGGTCAAGACACAGAGGCCACAAACACTATGGGAACTCTGCTTCATTCCTAACAGACAGAGGTGGTATTCAGACGGTTCTGACCAGTTCTGGAGAGCCAATAGTGGAAATTTTGAGTCGCTTGGAGAACCGGCAAATCCCACTTCTGACTGGCTCCGCCCCATCTATTCTCTGCCTCCCGAGTCCCAGCTGATTGGCTGGGTCTTCTTTTGTTGCCCTGTACAGGAGAACGGAGCTGGAAAGCAGGTTAGTGGGGTGGGGAGGGAATGGGGATTTTGCAGTAAACTTCCCTTGCCACGTCACCAAGCAATGCCCACAAAGCCACGCCCACAAAGCCACACCATGCCCACCAAGCCATGCCCACAGAACCAGTAATAAAAAAAATTGAATCCCATCACTGCTAATAGAGTATAAAAGCCTGGCAGAGTCTTTTTTTCCCTCTTTTATGCCAAAGAGAGTGAAGATTGGGCAGTCTTGGCTTTCCTTCTCAAGTATTTCCAGGGCTAGGCTAGTGTTTACCTAACAATATTTATAGTTTTGCAGTGATAATTCAGTGCCAGAAAAATAAACACAGATGGCTGATGCTTCATTTAACATCTTTATAAACATAACTATATTTACAATACCAGTTGTAGATTTCTCCAACATGGAGCAAACTCAAACAGAAACATGTTGCAAGTTCAGAGCAGAGCTCCAGCCTTCAGCAAGCAAGCAAGTTAGTTTCATCTTCAATAGATCAGCAGGCAAGCAAGAGGAGAGAAGCAGTTTCATTTCAATAGACAGACTCAGAGATCAAGATAGCTGCAGAGTTGCAGAGATTAATATAGAGCCACGCCTAAGCTACTTTTAGTTTCAGTTTCCAGCCTAGGCTACTTCTAGTTTCGTTTTCCAAAAACAGTCCTCATTGGCTGACTTAGTTGCTATGCTTATTCATTAGCTGACCTTGTTACCATGCTCTATTCCAGTTCATGAATATATTCTGACAAACAATTGTTGAATTTCTTCTTCAAAACCAAAATTGACCCAAACGGAAGCGAGTGGGGACGCCTCAGCATAAGGCTGCCATTGTGGCATTCGTCCCCTCCCCTGTCCAACTCTTGTCATGTCTCGTCTTGATCTTTGGCAGCATATTGTGGGTTGTAAAGCTGAGGTTAAAAGACTTTTCATGGCATGGCTTTCACCTCAAGGAAAAGGAACTCTGGGCCTCAATCACAACTAAAACAGTAGCTCAGAGAGCTGGAGGGAGAAAATCTACCCTCTGCTCATCATTCAGCTAGACAGCTTTAATAGGTCCCCTTCATATTTTCTGAAGAACTCTGAGCAGCTGGGTGGGAAAACAAAAAGAACCTTAAGGGGCAAAGAATTGCAGAATTGCAGTTCTTGAAGGGGGTATTTATAGAGCGTCTTCTCAACTTGTCCAGTAAAACTGTGATAAGTTTTTAAGCGATTTGTTTTTGTGGTTGGGAGGCTGCAGAGGAAAGGATAGAATTTGTTTTGGATGTTTTCGTTGCTTCCAAATTTGGCCTCATGAAGATGAAAAGGGCAGTAGCTGTCTAAAAAAAACCCAGCCTATTTGGCAAAACATAAAAAATAAGAGTTGTAGAATAAATAAAAACAGGGAGGAATGAAACCTGATAGTAAGAATTCCTGTCCAAAAAGGAGGAGGGAGTCGTATTACCAATGTAGGTTTTTTATTTGTTTGTTTAATTTCCAGTGCTATCAAAAATAGATTTGTTCCATGTTCTAACACTTCAAATGGAAAGGATACATTAGATAGTTTGTCTTCTGTTTTCAAAATGTTACCTCCAAACAGCAGACATTTATAGCCAAATGCCCAGTTGAACTCTGCACAGCGTGCACTGTCTTTGCATGGCTTGCACAGTATTGTTTGAAAGCAACTGTTTTCGGGTAGTATAAATCAGAACGAAGGGTGCTTGACTGGAAAACTGATAAATTTGCCCCAGAAAAGGATTAATGCTTTGCAAATCACAAACTCAGACTGACCCTGTTTTCCCGGAGCTGTGAGCCGAAAGATTAAAAACACAACATTGCCACCACATGGATGGAAGGTGCCAGACAGCTCTGGGGATCCTTTGAGGAGGTTCATTTTTTTCTGTCTGTTGTGTGAGCTCTTGAGGTGCTGAGGCAGGATGGAAAATCTGTGGAGAAGCAACAAGGGTCTAAAAAGAAAAAAGAAAAAGGTGTAGGATGAAGGAAAGTAGAGACCATTTTCAAAAGAAACGTGTAATTATTGAGCTGGAATATCACATGTGGTCAGAGAATCAGCTAAAACCTCTGTGCCTCTATTCTAGCATGCTGCTTTGTATCTATGGGGATTGTCAGTCATCCTGGTCAGTGGTCACCAACCAGTGGGCCAGGGACCACTGGTGGTCCACGAGAAAATTTTGGGGGTCCGCAGAGAAATGTCACCCCCAAAGCACCCCCCAAAGCAATTAATCCAGGCTGCGTGGGAACACAAGGCGTACCGCCCACATGGCCCACAGGAACACAAGGCTTGCGTTGCTTGCATTGCGAACAACACGAGGTAGTGAAGGGAGGGGGGAAAGGGAGGAGGGGGGGAACTTGCCCCACTCGCCCCATGCACCTGGCCTGGCCACCGGGCAGCTTCTTTCCGCTTCTTTCTTCTTCTGCTTTTGGCTGCACGCAAGGAAAGCAGCAAAAGTCTTTCTTTCTCTCCCCCAAACTCCGCCAAAAATGAGTCTTTGGGATCCTGCAAGTCCTCCTGCTCCAAGAGGCTGCGCTGGCAAAGACTCATTTCTGGCGGAGGTTGAGGGAGAGAAAGAAAGACTTCTGCAGCTTCTGCTGCTTTCCTTGCATGAAGCCAAAAGTCTCTCTCTCTCTCTCCCGCTGAGAACGGAGCTGGAGACGGTATCCTGTGATCCCAAATAAAGAATGATTGGTAGGAAAATGGGGCAGGGAATTTTCCTGCAGACTTTTTTGGGGATTTTCCCAGGGTCTCTGGTCCACAGGATTTAAAATTATGAGTTTGGTGGTCCTGAGGTCCAAAAGGTTGGCGACCCCAGTCCAGGTCACAATTATCCCACAGGTGCTTTTTCAAGAGGTAACTGGACTTTCTTTGAAGACCTTTTGTTCCTCATCCAAGAAGCTTTTTAGGTTCTGAACTAAAGAACTGAAGAAGCTTCTTGGATGAAAAGCAAAACATCTTCAAGGAAAAAGAAAGTCAGTCCAGTTGCCTCTTGAAAAAGCTCCTGTGGGACATGTCACTTTGTAGATGGCTGTCCAATGAGTTGCTGTACAGCTCCTTGCTCGGGGACTCAATGTCTCAGCGGACAGCTGGGTGGCAAAGGTCGGGCAGATTAGAAACCCATGGATTTCCTCTATCTTTAATTCCCTAGATCTGAATGACAGTTTAACCAGCAGTTCAACATATGGTCAATTTTTCCAGGTCAAGGGGCAGACACGGAGAGCAAGCTACGCACAGGAAACCAGATTAAAAAGCAAGATTGGAATATTCCTCAGCAGTTTTCACACTGCTGTCCCTCTGAACAAATTAGCTTTTCAATCAATAATGATTCTATAATTGCAATATAATGAACTTCATTCTACTCTTGAATCAGATTCATTACAGACATTAGCATGCTTGATTTAATAGTGGGTGAATTGACTAAATCTCCATTGCCCTGAAGCAATGTATTTGTTACATTCAATTTAAGCAACCTTTTAGAAATAATATTAATTAAATAAAATAAAATCCTAAATGCAGGGTTTGGGAATAGTTGTTATCTCTCTTGGGGATGGTAGAGATCCCTTTATAAATTGGTACCGATATGAAAATAGATCAACTCAAGGCCGAAATTTTTCTATTGGGAATGATAAAAGGTGAGTACGCAAAAGAAATGAAATACCTAATTCTACACATAATCACTGCAGCAAGAATAGCTTTTGCACAGGGCTGGAAGGGTGATCAGAGACCAACAAACAATCAGATAATCCAGAAGGTCTACATCTGTGCTGAAATGGACATACCCAAAAACTAAGAGACAAGGCAGACTTAAAATATTGTACAGTTTGGGAAAACTGGTACAATTGGATTAAGGATAAAAACCAGTGAATAAATAGATAAGGAAATAAAAAGATAAAGGGGTTAGATTAAGAGTAAAAATCAACCCTCCATTTTGCCTTTATTCACTGTGCTCATTACTGCCATGGGCGACTGTGCAGTCCAGGGAGATATTAAGCTACAGTAGATGAAGGGAGATCCATGGTCATATCTTGAACTGGTCCAACAGTGGGTGCTTCAACACTGGAAGCTTTCAAGAGACTGTACAACCTTGTCTGAAATAGTGTAGGGCAGGGGTGTCCAACCTTGGCAACTTTAAGACTTGTGGACTTCAACTCACAGAATTCCTCAGCCAGCTGGCTGAGGAATTCTGGGAGTTGAAGTCCACAAGTCTTAAAGTTGCCACGGTTGGACACCCCTGGTGTAGGGTCTCCTGCTTGAGCGGGAAATTGGGCTAGAACATCTCCCAGGTCCCTTCTGTTATTTTGGTCTTCCTGAGAGGCTCTTACCTGGGCCTGCTCTTCCGTTGGGGAGACATGGTGGTTGGAGCTCTGGAGAAAGAGGTCCTTGTGGTGCTGAAGCATATGCAGAAGCATGGCATAGCAAAGGGTTTGCTTTTCATATGCCAAAGGGCTGCAAGGAATGATAGAAAATACACAAAATGGTACTTATAGTAGCAGTAAGGAGGATAGAATGCCGTAAGTTTAATGTTTCCCAAACTCAGTTTTGCTCAAAAGTTTGAAGATGCTCTGTGCAAATGCTCAGCCCTGGCCTCCATTGCTTTATACCTAACATGACTAAATGGGCTCATTTTCTTGAATGGAAAAACCCCAATGATGATAGGGAAAGAAATGAATGATTTTGCTAACAATCACTTTCCATTTAATAGCAGTAGCGCTTATACTTATGTTGTGGCTTGGAGGTTTGAGCCTGCTTTGTCAGAGGACGAAGACTTGGATGGTGAGGAAGGGGAGGATTTGGCTCTGAGGTTTGAGCCTGATTTGTTAGAGGATTTGGAATTGCCTCCCTCCCCAGGACTTTCCCCCTCGGCAGGACCTTCCTCCCTGATTGTGCCTCAGGTGTCGGCAGATAATCAGGAGAGCGTATCAGAGCCTCTGACTGAGGATGAAGCTGAGCAATGCTGGCTTGATGCGAGGCAACGGCATAAGCAAAAGTGTAAGTTGCAACATAGAAAGAAAGGATGAATCAGAGACTGAGATGAGGGACTGACACGCCCCACAGGGATTAAAAGTGGGTGTGCTCGCTCTGAGAACTTGTTCGGGACAACGTTTTATTTAGTGAGAGAAGCTTCAGAATTATCCTGTGTGTGGCGACAGCTTGTGATTTACCGTATTTATCGGCGTATAACACGCACTGGCGTATAACACGCATCTTCATTTTAAGGGGGAAATTTCAGGAAAAAAAATTTAAAAAAATTCTGCCTGCCTGCCTTAGTTTCTGGTTGTTTGGGAGCAGCTTCGGCTGAGAATAATAACTATTCGCCTCTTTTACTCAGCCGAAGCTGTTCCGATTCAACCATTAACGAAGGCAGGCAGGCAGGCAGAACGGAGCACTGCGGGCGGGCGGGCGGGCGGACGGGGTGGGGGTGGGGGAGAGGCGACAGGAAAAGCCCCCCCCCCGCTTCTTTGAAGCAGTTTCTTCCTGTGCTGGTGGAGGAGCGAGAGAGCAACTGAGAGAGCTGACCCAGAGAGGACAGGCTTCGGTTGCTTCCTCCCTCCCCTTCTTTCATTTGTGTCCTTGATCCCCGATCCCAGCAGCATTCACCGAAGGCTTCTTAACATTATATCGGCGTATAACACGCATACATCATTTGCCCCCTATTTTCAGGGGGAAAAAAGTGCGTGTTATACGCCGATAAATACGGTATGTTCCTGCTTCCTTATCAGACTTGGCAGACAGCTTGCATGAGACTGCCAAGAATGTTCTCGGCTTAAGGAATTTTAACCCTGTAACTACCGGACTTGCCTGCTTTTTTGTGTTTCAGTTGGAAATTTGGACTTATTACTTTGTTCAGGTGAGACATAACATACTTATATATCACTTTACAGCACTCTCTGGGCGGTTTACAATGTATACATTATTTGCACATTTGCCCCCCAACACACTGAGTCCCCCTTTTATCGACTTTGGAAGGAGGGAAGGCTGAGTCAACCTCAAGCCCTATCAGGATCGAACTCCAGACTGTGTGCAAGAGTTCACCTGCAATGTTGCCTTCTAGCCACTCTGCCACCATGGCTCCTTTTGATCCTGACAATAAGAAATTAGGATAGTTGGCTTTTTTATTGATTCTTGAGAGTTATTATGATTAGAGAAAATACAAAGAATCTACTGTATGTTGTGGGAGATGCAATTTTAAGGGAACCAACTTTTTCGCAATGAAAAGGAGGACACAAATAAATTGAAGAAAAAAAACAAAGCCACTTGCATGCGCTGCACTCTCTCAAAACAATTCTCCTGTGGTGGAGCGCATGCGTCTCATAATCGCGTCTCGCCGCACTGTACCGAGCCTTGACGAATCGTCATGTCAAATACAAATATGTCACATCACACACAACGGATCGGATCGGCATCGATCAAATACGGAGATTTACAAATTAGTCTTCAAATATCAAAAAGGAGGACATGTAGGAGGACACTTTTCAAAGGAGGACAGAACTTACAAAAGGAGGACTGTCCTCCCTAAAAGAAGGACGGTTGCTCACCTTAGCAATTTAGAACGTAAAATGATGCCATACTTTGTTGTTATCTGAGGTTCATCTTCAGAGGCCCATTTAAATTCCAGAGCCAAACATTAAATGATCTCTTGGTCTAATCAAGTGATCCTGTAATACCCCCCCACCCCCAGTCTCCTTCAGGAAGGATAATTAGATGATTAGACTATTCAAGGTGAATTAGATGGCAACTCAGGAGGAGTTAGCACCATGGAGATATCGAAAGAACTTCTTACCGGAATAACGTGGGGCTGAAAACAATGGCCAGGTTTTCCAAGGTCATTTGATTCACATCACTGTTTGCAGCCACCTTGGTGAGAAATCTAATGAGGAAGCAAGCGAGGTGACTGTGGGCTTCCGGAAGGCTACTTAATAGCTGTTTTAGACATCTTGTTTGTTCTGTGGTGCAGTTTTTATTCGCTGTGAAAGATGGGACAGTAATGATTAACAGAGAAAGATTAACATCAGTTAGAATTTGTTCAGTGTTTCATAAGTGTTGACTCTAAGGGCATGTGCTCGAAGCCTTTGCTGAATTGGGCTTTCCCCCGAGGATGGCAGCTGGCACGAGGGGCTCCTGAAAGCATTGGACACAGAGGAAAGGAGGGAGATTTCGTTCTATGCAGATGCCTTTAGAGAGAGGATTAGGGGGGAATTGGCAACCAAGGTCCATGTTTAGAGAGAGCACTGCTGGTCTTTTAGATGATGCAAGGCTAAAGGAAATGAACAAGGTTTTTTTTAAAAAAAAGACAATTTAGGACAACACATAATCAAGGGAAGATGGATTCCATACTGGAATTTAAGTAAATGTGATATGCCTGTAACAATAAGCTAGCATGCAGAAATGGGCATGAGTTTAGATTCTTGTTTGTGGCCCAGAAAAATATTTTTGTTATGAAGTTATTATTACATGGGATTTCCAAATAGAAACTGTAGCCTTGGTTCATAAAACACCAGATTTAACGTAGTTGAAATTTAAGGAGGAGGAGGAGGAGGAGGAGGAGAACTGTGAAGCCCTGGGTGTTCTCTGAGCTTGGGGATTTTCTTGCAGATGTTTCATTACCCAACTAGGTAACATCATCAGGGATAGAAGGGAGAGGGGCTTGCCAGGAGGAAGGAGGAGGAGGAGGAGGGAGGAGGAGGAGGAGGAGGAGGAGGAGGAGGAGGAGGAGGAGGAGGAGGAGACATCATACTTTCTTGCATCAAATAAAAATAAGAAGGCTCTTATGTACTTGCTGTACCTTCAAAAACGGCCCAAATGTCAGTGCACAGATCTTCCGGGAAAACAGCAGTTGGAAGCTGATTCAGGAATAGTTTAAGGAGGCTGGCAACAGTGTTGATATCTCCTTCCTTAACAAGATCAACTTCTTCTCCTTGATCATACTTTAATCTAAGTGCCCTGATTTTGGCTGCTGATCCACTGATCCGAAAGAGGCCCGTGTGATTTAGCCCTAGGAGAACATGTAACATCCTGAATGTATATTATTAGTAGCTAATACATCCTCCAAGGGGATCCATGAACAAATAGAAGAGAGGAGTGGATTTGGAGGAACCCCAAGATTCATAAAATTATAACAAATCTAATTATACCAGCTTGATAACTGTACTTCGCTACGAAACTATGTGGTCGGGCTTAGTTTTTGGGGGAGGAAAATAAAGGGGGGGGGAATTCTGCCTCTGCCTACCAGCATCCATCGGTATTCATCTGGCTAGCGTCCTATCAATGTGAGAGAGTTGAGGGCTGTTTGGAAACTGAAAGAGTATTTGCTATGTGAGCGAGAAGGAGACAGCAAGGAGCCTGGGCTTGGCATAGCTCAACTGTTCTGTACTAAAGCTGCTTGGTGCTGCGAAACTAAAACTGAAACTGAAACTCCTCTCCTCTGCTTGTGTTTTGCATTTGAATGAGATTTCTTTCCAGGTGGAGAGGGGGAGTAGAACTCCTTAGCATCAGAGCGTGTTAATAAATAATATAGGAAATACTAATGCTCTGATGGTCATTTAGAGAAATCCTTTCTTAGTGAGCCCCTAGAAGCCAAATTTCAAGTTTGTAGGCTTTACGGTTCTGGAGATTTTGTGATGATGCATGAGTGGTATTTTGCTTTTATATAGAGAGATTAAGGGAAGAAAGGACACTGCCTAATTCTGATTTTTTTAAAAGGAAGGATGTTCTTTAAAAACATTCCCTTCTACACATTTCTTACGAGACAGCAAAATGCAATACAGTGTTGCTTTCTTCTTCTTCCTCCTAGATAACACTGTGATCAAATCAAAACTAAATATAGTAGTTAATGGTATTTGGGCACTGTGTTTTTCTTTGCAAACCAAAACCAAATTGTATTCAGCCTCCATTTCAGGTGAAGATACCTAAGATTACCTGGCTGGAGGCATTATGTAAATTATCAGGGCCACAGAAGAAAAACCTCCTAGAGCAACTTTAAGCCTGGAGGACTTCAACTCCCGGAATTCCCAGCCAGCTGGCTGGGGAATTCCAGGTGTTGAAGTCCACAAGTCTTAAAGTTGCCAAGGTTGGAGACCCCTGTTCTAGAGCACCTACTTTTATTCATTTTTCATGTTGCAAAGAAGAAGGGGGGAAAAAACCCACAGTATCTGATGCAAAGCAGATCTTTCCCCTGGAATATTATTACAAAAACCAGCTAATCAGTCCCAAACTGGCAAGCTCACTGAAAGTGTGAGCCCAACTCAAAATACAATGCATAATAGATTTGCATATAATCTACTTCCAGATCACAAGACTTTTTTTCCTCCAGATGAAGCTGTTTCCTTTTTTTTTTTTTAATCCTTGATCTGTTGGTTCTTACTGGAGTGATGCAAAAGCAATGAATCAAGGTGACACTGGAGATTAGAGCCAAGGTCCTTGTCATGATCAGTTGGGTGGCAACTTCAGCAAATGCATCATCATTCAAAGGGGAATCTACTGTGTCTCCAGAATGGTTGGGGAAATGCCAACCAGCCTGAATTTACTTCGTCTGACTAATAGGATTGTCTATACAGTTAAAGGAAAAATCTACCAGCCGTGGTGGTGCAATGGTTAGAATACAGTATTGCAGGCTAATTCTGCTCACTGCCAGCAGTTCAATCCTGACCGGCTCAGGGTTAACGCAGCCTTCCATCCTTCCAAGGTCAGTAAAATGAAGACCCAGATTGTTGGGGGGCCAAAGGCTGACTTTGTAAACTGCTTAGAGAGGCCTGTAAAGCACTGTGAAGTGATCGATAAGTCTCAGTGCTATTCTTATTGCCATGCAACCTGCCCCGTGCTTCTAAAACTGGACTGAATTCAGCTGCCACCTTATGCTGCTGGTGCTTCTCTGTTATGTTGTGACAGACTGCCATAAACTGTAGGGAGGGGGAATGAAGGGGTGGGATGCTTGGGGAAATGAAAGTAAGTGCAGTATCTATTCAAGATGCTGCTTCAAGGTCATCCAGGTGGAAAAAGGAGGGAGCTACATATCTAAGTACACTTGGACTGACCATTATGAAAACATGTTGCCTCAACCTCAGCTATATGGAGGTGGGCAGGGAGAGACAGCTAATGGAGGGAAGGTTGATTTAGGGATTTGGGCATGTGATTCTCAGTTCTGGCTTTGCATTGCTGCAATAGACTTGACTTTGTAATAAAACTATACTTTTCTCAACCAGTGGAGCCAAGGATGGTTTCCATTTAGAGGTTTACATTGTGGCAGGTCTGACGCTGATGCCTCCAGGTTTTTATAGGAGGAAGTAGGTTTCTTGTCTATCCAGAAATGCCCCTGAGATGACAACTTCCAGATGATAATAATCCACATTTGATTGTTAGAGTAGATCCTTGAATTTGTTGATTCTGTTGGATATGGGATCTGGATAGAGTTGGGGTTTACCTGACAACTCAGAACTGTCTATGGACAGTCATTGCAGAAGAAAAGATGTCCAGAGCCACGTTTCATCAATGATATTGAATGGACATCATCACCAGCAATATTAATCCCCAAAGTACATGCCTTTACCTGACCAAGTGAAAGGAAGAAAATGATCACAGCCAAGTGTAATCACGAACTTACCAAACTCTTCTAAATATTCCACTGTATGTTGGACAACTAGAGGAACAGGCTGTTGTGTTGTATCCTTGATGACGATATCAAGGGGAGAACCAAAGATTGTTTGAGGCTCTGGTCCAACTTTGTTTTCACCGTGCTTCACTTTTACAGATGACAATGATTGCTGCCAAGAGACATAATTGCGTCAGTTGCTCTTGCACCATAAATTTTCAAAATTTATATAATGTCAATGTTATAACAACAGGGTTATGGAACTGAGTTTGTGAGCCTTGAAAATTGTTGGCCATGGATTGATATAGTGCGCAACATTAACCGAAAGTAATTGAAGGGGGTGGGGACATTTGTTGGTTCCACTAACTTGAGAAAAGATGTTATGTGCCTTGCAACCTAACCTTCCTCCAGTCAATTAATATTTTAAATTAAATAACCTTCTTACAGCGTAAGAAGTTTCAAGTTTTACTGCACTTATTCCTGCACCCCATCCTTGGTGTAAAATGCAGATAATTACTTATTATTTTATAATTACTTATTCCCTTACACTGATCTGCCTTCTTGCTTGATTTGTATACATACAATTTAGGACTGTGGACCACATGCAAGCCTGTTGTTAATTATAACAGAAAAGCCTTATACTTCATCAAGCATGCATGTCGGGTGGGATTAAATCAGTCTTTCCTAAGTGTTTCTTGAAAAATAAGATAAATTACACGCCTACAGGATGACTACAATTGACTAAACAGAGATCCCAAATAAAAGATCTGCCATTGTTTGCTGATGCCAGTTTAGTTGTTTCATAGTTTGTTGCTTAGTTTATTCGTCATCCATGTTTCCAAAACTGCCCAGTTTCTTGACACCTCTTTCCCACTCACCCCCTTTGCAGGGCAACACAATATTTGCCTTGCTCCAGTGACAGTTATTTCACTAAGCCTCCAGGGTTTGGATTCTGAAGGCCCCCACTCAAAATAACAGAAACTTATTGTGCAGACCATCCATTAATACTTTAAGGGTTAGTGAGAAAGTCAGGGTACCGTACATCTGGTAACATCAGAATAATGGAAGGGATCTCTATATCATTTCAAGCAAGTGGCTTTCCAGTGTCTTCTTTAAAAAAAAAAAAACAGGGATGAAGCCCCTACAACTTCTGAAAGGAAGCTGCTCCACTGGTCAATTGTCCTCACGGTTTGGAAGTTTCTCCTTCATTCCAGGTTGAGGTTTTTAAGAACAGACTGGACAGCCATATGTCTGGAATGGCATAGAGGCTCCTGCCTCAGAAGGGGTTGGACTAGAACGGCGTGCATAAGCGCACTATCGTGCCTACCCTCCCTCTCCTATTGTCCCCAATTATTAGTTCCTATTCCGTGTATTTATTCTTATGTTTATTCTTATTTCTATTATATTGTAAGCGTTTGCACCAAGACAAATCCCTTGTGTGCCCAATCACACTTGGCCAATAAAGAATTCTAACTGACAAAATAAAATTAGTAAATAAATAAAATAAAATAAACAAATAAATAGAAGATCCCCCTTCAACTCTGTTATTCTGAGGTCACCCGATGTATGGTATCTTAACTTTTTCACTAATCCTTAAAGAATTAATTGGTGGACTCTGGACAACACGTTTCTTTTAATTTGAGCGGATGTCGTCAGAATCTGTTTTTAAAACCCTGCCTTTTTGCAGAATGATTTTACGGGGCTCTCATTCATTTCAGACCCTGAATGTGGATTGAGTGAGAGTGACAGGTCAAAGTTCTCTGGAGAGTTTCCATGATTGAGGAGAAACTAGAACCTGATTGTCCCCATTCCTAGTCCAACACTTTGACCTCTCCTCCTTTTTTAACCTCTATAATTCTCTCTTGAGCACCAAGTTATAGAAATGAAAGCCAGTATATATGATTCCGTTATTACAGACATGATTCTGTGCTGGAGCCAATATTACCTTGATGAGCAATATTAAATTGAAGTGAATCCAAACATTTAATTCCATCTATTTAATTGTTTCTCAGGCTTGGAGAGCATCCTTCTGTGAACAGAAATTGCTTTTCTGCATGAAGCAGAACATCTGGACCCAGCCCAAGAGATCCTCCTCTAAAGGCTGGGATAGCGAAATAAAAAAAAAAAACTGGTATTCACATTCAAGGGACAATTCCAGGGTTTAAGGTCAAATCTCAGTTGAACATTCGTCATGTGAATTTCCAAGGAAGCCCAAGTAGAACAGACTGTACTGTAATGCAATATCTCTCAAATACTAAAAAAAAAAAAAAAAGTAAATGCAGCTGACATGTTCATCATGATTAACTTAAAGTTAGATTTTGATCATGGATAGGAGTTTGACTCTCTGACTGTAGTATGAAAAAAGGGATACAGATTATCATGATGCAGTAAGGTAGAGTAAACCTCGTTGCCTTTTAGTAATTATTTGAAATAAATCAAATCCAAATCAATAAGGCGTATTCCTAAAGTAAACCTTCTTAAAATCAACGCATGAAAGACAAAAGATTGACAAGAGGGGGAAAAAGGAAGAGAACATTTACAGATAGTATCCAAGCAGGACTGACAAAGACCAACCCTGGGTTTCCTTGAAATAGGCCAGTCATTTGCAGCAACCTTCTGCCCTTAACTACTCAGAAGGTGCTTTTGCAAGTCCTCAGTTAAGCCCAAGGAGTTACGTTCCACTTACGCAGAGGGAAATGGAGGCCCCTGTCCCCATGTTAGGTCTGGACCAGAAGTTCTCTCAGGAGAGAAGGCCCACAGGCCAACCATGGTGTTCCTCTGCCCGTCAGCAGCTCAGCGGGGCTGCGGCTTTGTAGAAATTCATCCTTCCAGGTAGGCTTGGCAGGTGTTAAAGTAAACAATCAAAGGCAGTCCTCAGCAGCACCAGTTTTCTGCTTAGGACACTCTCCGTAACTATTGAACCCTTGGACAGAAACTCCCTGGGATGTCCAAGCTAAGGAGGTTGCCATGGCATCCTGCATACACATACACACCAGGAAGCCATGACTTCCGGCATTTCTCTCTGGGCAGCAGCAGGCACTGACAGGATTAAGTGGAGTGGCAAACTGGAGAGCCCTGGTGCATAAGAAAGGCAGAAATGACTCCATTGTGGGGACCTTTCCAGAGTCTTCCTTCTGCGAAGAGGCAACCCAAGTTTTTAGATCTATAGTTTGTTAGGGAAAGGGAATAGTTGGGGTCAGAGGAAATCTTCTGGGGCCCAGGACCCAGAATTTGGGGAATGCCAAGTCATCAGGTGTATACAGTCCTTCGCAGGAAACAAAAAGTCAATATGGAGGCCATGATGGCATGATTTAACCTCTGCCAGTTCTTTGTGTGCGTTGTGTGGGCATCTTTGGAAATTGATGCTTTGTCTCTGGGCGATGGTAACATAACCACAGATCACACTTGGTTATCAGGCATTATGTGTGCATAAAGCAGAGGTCCCCAAACTTGGCAACTTTAAGACTTGTGAACTTCAACTCCCAGAATTCTCCAGACAGCACAGAATTCTGGGAGTTGAAGTCCACAAGTCTTAAAGTTGCCAAGTTTGGGGACTCCTGCCTTAAATCCCACCAGCCATGAGACTTGCAGTGAAGGTTCCAATATGAACCAGAAGACAGCAGAGGCATCAGAGGTTAACTCCCCCTTGCCTTAATCTCTCCCCTTTGTGTCATCATCAAGGCCACATTCCATCAGCGACAAAACTAGCCTGAAATTACACTCCTAACGTTGAAGTTTCTCCTCCACTTAAATCAGAGGTCTCCAAACTTGCAACTTTAAGACTTGTGGACTTCAACTCTCAGAATTCTCCAGCCAGCATAGCTGGGAGTTGAAGTCCACAAGTCTTAAAGTTGCCAAGGTTGGAGACTTCTGGCGTAAAGGAAGCATCTTCTGAGAGCAGAGCACTCATTGGGCAACAGGTGTTGATTGCACAGTGCTTGACAAAGGGAAGAGGAACCCCCCCTGCTGCCCACTCACCCTCACCTTCCTTCCTATCACGCAAACTGAAAACACCCCACATGCCAGTCCAGTGTCGGCTTCTGGCTTGTCCCATTCTCACAGTGACAGTCCAGGGAGCTGACTGCAGGCTGACACAGGAGCAAATTGATTGTTGTGTCTGAAGCCCAGCCAATTGCCTGTATAGCAATAGCAATAGCACTTAGACTTATATACCGCTTCACCGTGCTTTCCAGCCCTCTCTAAGCAGTTTTACAGAGTCAGCCTATGGCCTCCAACAATCTGGCTCCTCATTTTACCCACCTCCGAAGGATAGAAAGCTGAGTCAACGTTGAGCCTGGTGAGATTCCAACTGCCAAATTGCAGGCAGCTGGCAGGCAGCAGAAGTAGCTTGCAGTACTGCACTCTGACCACTGCGCCACCGAGGCTCAAATATGCCAAATATTTACATGTATATTTGTGAATGTATAAACTGTTTTACTGAGGAGACTTTATGACAGGTGCAATCAATAACTGCATCCAAGGGGACAATAAAACAAATATATGCAATGATACGCAATAAAGAAAGTGCAAAATAGGATAATAGGTTTAGAACTCGCATCTCCCCAGTCTTGCAAATCAAAGCAAAGGCCAGCGTAGAAAAATCCTGGGGCCTCTTAAGTGCCCTCAGTGAGGCTTGTGAGAACTTTGCTGAGCTCCAGGATTCTCTCTGAAGCCATTCTCTCCAGAAGAAGATCATTATCAGGGCCCAATTCAGGCCATGGCATTCGTGTCCCAGCATTTCGGGCAGAATCACCACCCCCAAAGGAAGCTTCTGCTGGTAATCATCCATCATTTGACAACTCCAGAACCTGTGGACGTGGATGAGCTTTTGAGCATTTCACATAAGCTGCCCAGTGATGGGATTCAAAAATTTTTACTACTTGTTCTGTGGGTGTGGTTTGGTGGGCGTGGCAGGGTAAGGATATACTGCAAAATCCCCATTCCCTCCCCACCCCCACTAACCTGCTTTCCAGCTCCGTTCTCCTGTGCAGGGCAACCAAAGAAGACCTGCAGTACTGCATTCTAACCACTGCACCACTGAGGCTCTATGGAGTATCACTCCATGGCATGATGCTCCATGGAGAGGACCTCCCTTCCCCTCCCAAGAGCCGCCACAATGTGGTTGTCAGCATTTCAAGGTCTGTAGAGCCAGACACGATCACAAAGCAGAGATGATCATTGGTTGAGCTGCAAGAGAGAGAGGAGCCAAAGATCTAACGGGAGCGAAAGTGCCCTTTGTTGCTTTTTAACAGGGCTCAATGGGTTTGACTTACATGAATGGACAGCTGGAAGAGAGCCAGAGACAAGCAAAGAGTCACGTAAAAGTCCCTCTGTGATGGACAGTGGAGAAATTTGCACCGTAGGCTTCATTATATGGACGGGTTCAAAAGGAATTGCTGTCCTGGTTATTGTACGCTCCTTGCCTAAAGAAATAGACTTCTTCCTTACCAAACTGCTTTTCTTTTACACACCTATTCGCATCCATGTTGTCCATGCAGTAAGAATTAATTTGACAACAATGAGTATGATCAATATGAATGCCACTGAGTAAGCTACATGAATTTACAAGGGAAGCCCCATTTATTTCTGCAGAGGATTCAATAGCTTACCAGCAACCCTACTGTTATTCACAAAGAATCCTAAAGCTGGAAGTGACCTTGAAGGTCATCTAGTCCAGTGGTCATCAACTGGTGGGCCAGGCACCACTGGTGGTCTGCAAGAAAATTTTGGTGGTCCATAGAAAAATGCCCCCCCCCCTGAAAAAAAAATTAATCCAGGCTGTGTGGGAACCCAAGGCTGTGCCACCCACATGGCCCTCCACCCACTGGTCCCCACCCTTCGGCCGAGTGCAAACCTTACTTTGAGTAGAGCCATGTGAGCTGGAACTGGAAGGTAAGAGCAATGGCTAGGGAGGGAAATCCGCCCCGGGGTGGCTTGCTGACATTGGTGGGAAAGTCGGCTCCATATTCCAGAGCTGCAGTAGTCACAGGACTGGCCCCTTGGTCATCCCAGAACAGCTCCTCCAGTCCATGGCAGGCCGGTGCACCCAGGTGGAGGAGCAGCTGCTCCAGGATAACCAAAGGGCCAGTCCTGTGACTACTGTAGCTTCGGAATACGGGACTGACTTTCCCACCGTCAGCAAGCCGCTGTCAGTCCAAATTCCTATTACTGGTCCGCGGGATTTAAAATTATGAGTTTGGTGGTCCCTGAGGACCAAAAGTTTGCCGACTCCTGTTCTAGTGCAGGGCCCAAGGCAAGAGTCCTTATGCCATCCTGGACAAGGATTTGTATATAGTGCTCCTTCCTCAACCAGCTAATTGGTTTATTGGAAGCCTGTTTAATGTTAAATGAAATAATAAACCATTTTGGAACAATCTGGTCAGATTTAGACCAAGTCAGATTTCAAGGAAAATTTCAAGATTTCTTTGGAAACTTTAGAGATGGATTTGTTTTTCTTCTTCTAATGTAATGGAGCCTTGACGTTCTTAACCAGGAGCTTTGCTACATTGCAATGTTATAAGATCCCTAGGGAAATCTTGTCTTGAATTTGTAAAAATAAAATAAAACCAATATTTCAGTTCTGCAATTGGTGGTTTCTTTAATAAATTGGCTTTATAGATTTCAGTTGAATCATTTGAACAGTTCCTAATGCAAGATGCAGTAACTTTTTTTTTTGCCATCCAACATCTTCATTGGTATTAAATGCTACATTCTTGTTGTGCTGTTTATTTCATAGATCGTGGAATCTTTTGGCAATTCACCAGATTCCTCAGAGAAAACAGGATCTTCGGTCACTTTCACAACACTCAGGGTGGTGTATTTCCTCCACCACCCCTTACCAAGCAATATTATTAAGATTCCTAAAGAGGGAAGAAGTACTGTGCCAACTTGGACAAAATTAAGTACAAATATTACATGTCAATGAGTATAAAATACATCGGTTGCACCAGAAAATACCTAGCAAAACTGTAGTAACAATACAAGGTGAATGAGAAGAGGAACCTCCTTCAGGAGGCTGATCCAACGTTTTGCACACTTGCCCCGGCTTGCACACTCAGCCTCAGATGGAGTAGGATGCTCGTCAAGAGAAGCTCCGTCTCAAGAGCTCAGCTTCACCACACCTTCAAAGTCTCTTGGTCAGTTGCAATCCGGCATTGTCACTCCTAGGCACAAGCAGTGCGTGGCTAATGATGGGCAATGGCAAAGCATAAGGCCCCGTCGTGTTGTTGGAACTTAAGTTGCCATGGCCAGGACTTGATGTTTTGGCTCAAAGGTCCAAGTGTTTCGAAAGAAGTATCAAAAGTGTCTTAAAAACCTTTATAAATAGATGTAAAAGTTTACTAAAAGTCTCGGTATAAAAACAGCAGCAACTATTCCATTTACACTCGGGAGGCAGCTGTGGAGGAATAGGGGTTTGGGCCAATAGTAGGGTTTGTCCCAGGCCAACAGGGAAGCACAGCCACCAGGAGGAGAAGCCCTCCGAAGAGCACACACAGGCCACTGAAGTAGAAAGCCAGGTCATAACAAGCAGTCCAATCATAAAACCAACCTGAAAGAGAACACAAAGAAATGCCAGAAACAGATCCAAACCCTCTTTATCTCCCACCCATCCCTGCCATTAAAGAAGATTCCTTCTTCCATAAAAAGGCCACACCAGAGCATGACCAGACCAGGGAAGACATGATTGCAGTCCTCCAATATTTGAGGGGCTGCCACAGAGAGGAGGAAGGGGTCAAGCTATTTTCCAAAGCACTCCAAGGCCAGACAAGGAATAATGGATGGAAACTGATCAAGGAGAGATTCAACCTGGAAATAAGGAGGAATTTTCTGACAGTGAGAACAATCCACCCATGGAACAGAAGTTCCCTTTGGACATTGTGGGAGCTTCATCACTGGAGGCTTTCAATAAGAGACTGGACTTCCATTTGTCGGAAATGATGTAGGGTCTCCTGCTTGGGTTGGGGGTTGGCCTTAGAACTAGACAAGGTCCCCTTCCAACTGGGATTATATGTCAAATTTAGTTGCTCAGGAAACTGCCAGTGAAGGATGCCAGTGTTTTGAACCCAAGTGATTGACAAGCCACAATTGCAGCCAATGGCTCTACTCTTGCCGGCTGTTGTATCACAGAGGTGGAAAGGGTTACTGTATGGAGCACAAACCGGGATACGAGTTTTTAAGGCTACCGAGAACACACCGCTCTGCTTTTCCATTGTAACAGAATAATGCTACAACTCCACTAGCAGGCGGCCATTTTGGAAAGGAAGGAACAGCATCTGGCTGAAATGCTGACTTACCTACAACTGGGGGTCCAAGGCTGTTTCCAAGCCCGGCGAAAAACATCAATATGCCATAGGCATGGGTCAGTTTCTCGATCCCCACCGTCTGGGTTGTGACATATGGGAAAATCGACCAGTTTCCCGCCAGGAACCCTAAAACCCCCGAAAGGATTGCCAGAGTGCTGTAGCTCTGGGCAAAGGGGATTAACACCAGGGCTCCCGCCATCAAGATCAACGTCAGGACGTAGAGATACAAAGCATTGATCCAGTCTACATCCGCCAGGGCGCCCAGGGCCAGCTTCCCCACAGCAGTCATAATGCCAATGATGGAGATCAGAGGGATGACGCCGTCCCCCTCCGTGATATTTGAGCTCCTCGCCACGTCCTCCATGAGCAAGGAAGGAGGGAAGCTGCCAACGTCGAAGAGGAAGATGGCAATGAAGAGGGCAGAAAAGACTTTGTTTTGAAAAAGGCTCAGGGTGTCCTCCCAGTACTTTAAATACAGGCCCCACTTCTGCTTAGCCAGTTGTTTGCAGAGGTAAGTTTGTTCTGCCACTTTCTTTGGGTAGCTGTCTGCTTCTCTTGAGGCGGCCAAGAGCAGCTGGCTGTGAACTGGGAGTCCATTCGCTTGGTGGTTGCTGAGCGGCCCCTGGTTCTCCCCTTTCCCCTCACTCTGGGCCTTCTCGGGTATGGTGACGTGTTCTTCATGGGAGGGCTTCTCTTTTCTGGGGTAAAGGAGGTATTGATCTGGAACCTTCTCCGGATCGGGCTTCTGGACCACCGGCAGAGGCCTCATCAGGCTGCCACAAGGTAGGATGTTTAGAGAGAGAGCACCAGTGATCAGCAGGCAGCCATCCAACCCATACAGTTCAATCAGCTCTTTCTGTAAGGCGGCATAGATGAAAAGGCCAATGCTGGAGCCTGGAAGAAGAGAAGAGCAGGTCAGTAGATGCATGTTGCCGTCTGCTGTGCCTTGGCTGCCAACGTAATAAATGTAATGTAAAAATTATGTAAAAAGCTGCAGAGCAAAGCAATAATACCAAAAGCAGAGGTGGGATTCAGCAGATTCTGACCAGTTCTGGAGAACCGGTAGCAGAAAGTTTTGAGTAGTTCGGAGAACTGGCAAATACCGCCTCTGACTGGCCCTGCCGCCATCTCTCCTCTACCTCCCAAGTCCCAGCTGATTGGCTGGGTCTTCTTTGGTTGCCCTGCACAGGAGAACGGAGCTGGAAAGTGGGGTGGGGATGGAAAGGGGATTTTGCAGTATCCTTCCCCTGCCATGCCCACCAACAGAACCAGTAGTAAAAGTTTTTGAATCTCACCACTGATCAAAACACCAATTTTCCAGAAAGCAATAGCAATAGCAATTAGACTTATATACTGCTTTGCAGTGCTTTTACAGCCCTCTCTAAGCAGTTTATAGAGTCAGTCTATTGCCCCCAATAATCTGGATCCTTATTTTACCAACCTGGGAAGGATGGAAGGCTGAGTCAACCTTGAGCCTGGTGAGATTTGAACTGCCAAATTGCAAGCAGCCAGCAGCCAGCAGAAGTAGACTGAAGTACTGCACTCTAACCATTGCACTACTGTGGCTCAAAGACTTGAAGAAAGCAAAGACTGAATCAGATCACTCATTCCTGGCTGAGCCCGTTTTCTCTCTCTCTCTCCCTCTCTCTCTCTTCCTCTCTTTAATTATCCTTTCAAGATCTAGCTCATCCAAAGGACCAACAGCACCTTCATGATAAAATTATGGAAGTGGAACCTGAAACTGATCAGAAGTAATAGTTAACCGTGATAAATGCAGACTGACTTTTGGCGTTTGGAGGATATAATCTCAGTCAACCAAACTACTGCATAAAGTCATTCATTCCACCCTGAGATCAATATCAGGTAAAAGAACGTACCTGTGGAAATGAGACCCAGCGCAAAGCCTCTACGTTTGTCAAAGTACTGGCACGTGATTGTGATGGTGGCTGTGTACAATAAGCCACATCCAAGTCCTAAAGGCAAAGAAAAGTTCATGGCATATGATCAGTGCCCCAGAATTCTTGGCTAATATACTTAATTTTCTTTTTTCTTTTTAATATATTTTTTATTGTTTTTCAGTATCAAACACAGTGTGGCTGTTCTGGCATCACTCTGCCATACATACAAAGATATTACTAAATCATTAACATTCATATTATTAGTACAGTATTCACAATATAGGTCCATTTGTCGTAATTATTTTTGTTCCGACCTTCCCCTCTCTTCTGCAACCATTGATAAAACTTATTCCAAGTATCATAATATTCTGATTCCCCCTTATTTTTCAGTTCTAGAGTAAGTCTATCCAGTTCTGCACAAGCCAGAATTTTTCTTATTATCTCTCTTTCTGGTGGCATGTTTTCATTCTTCCAATATTGTGCATAGACTATTCTCACCGCTGTCAGTTCATGTATTATTAAATAAGTTATGCCTTTGCTGTGACTTTCTGTCATTATATTCCTAAAAGGAATAGTTCTGGCTTAAATTGAATATGTTCTCCCGCCATTTGCTCTACCCATGTCTGTTGCCAATATTTCATTGCTTGATTACATGTCCACCACATGTGGAAGTATGTACCTGGTCAATCCTTACACTTCCAGCATTTTGGTGATAAGTTTCTAAACATTTCAGCAAGTCTTGCTGGAGGAAAATGCCACCTGTAGAACATTTTGTATAAATTTTCCTTGTATGATGTAGCTAAAGTTAATTTCCTTTTTTCCCCCCCAGAGACTTTGCTGTCTAGCCAATTCAATGTTATGTCTGAAATTTTTGGCCCATGCCACCATCATCTGTTCCTCCAGCTTATAGTCTAATAGGGACTAATATATTTAATTTTCAATGAAAGGACACAGGGAACCATTCTGGAGGGTTCCCCAAACACCTGCACTGTTCACCTGAATATCAGGCAAATTCTGGCATGGGGTCTGCAAGTCTCTTGGGAATTCAGCCACCCACCAGGGAAGATTAGGGTCCAGGTTGAAAATCCCCTTTCTAGAAGATGCCTTTAACTCCTGAGCATTTGATTCTCTTGCTATCTGGTGGGGACAAAGAGGACCCTGTGAATTTTCTTACCAACAATAATTCCATAGGAACAAAACAGAAAGTAGATATTGGGAGCAAAGCTGCTCATCATCAGGCCTCCTGCAACCATGAAGCTACTGAAGATGGTCACTGGCCGTGCACCAAAAGCGGAGACACAGGTGCTGCAGATGGGACCTTCAGGGGGACAATCGGGGAGGAGAGAAAAACACAGGCACAATCTTATTTCAAATGTTTAAAAGGAGCCGGTCGAGAGATGGGTTGACTTCTCTTAAATCCAAAAAGAAGAGCTCTCCCTCAAGGTATTTTAATGCTTATTGCATCCTTTTTACACCAGGAATGTTCTACCACCAACTAAGCCTCTGAGGACCACAATGGAGCTGTGGTGGAGCTGCACCATGCCAAACCATGCCAAGCCCCCTCCGCTCTGTGTCACAGGTCAGCAAGGATATTGCCCTAAAGGGAATTATCTGGCTAATGCTCAGGTAACTGTGCATATATATAAGATTATAATCTATGGCAGTGGTTGCCAACTAGCGGGCCACAGCCCATTGATGGGCCGCAGAAAAATGTTGGTGGGCTGCAGAAGAAATGGCCCCCGAAAGAAATTAATCTGGGCCGCACAGTTCTCGCATCTCCCGGCTCTTCGAGGGACCCTGAGATGCACGTGCCAACCAGCTCCCACACACGGTAGCGGCGGCAACAACAGTCCCCTCCCCCGGTGCCCACTGTCAGCTCTCCCCATTAATTCTCCAGTTTTGGATTGCTCCCGTCTCTCTCTCTCTCTCTCTCTCTCTCTCTCTTTCCTCCCCCCTCCCCCCACATGCCCACCTGCAGGTAGGCAGGGAAAGGGACACGGAGCCTTGTGCAGCTCTCGGCTCCTCCAGCCCTCGCTGCCTCTCCCAACATCGAAGCCTTGGAGACACTGCGGTGTCTCCGAGGCTTAATATAAAAAAAAAATTAAAAATGTTATATTAAATATATTATCTTTTTTTTAAAAAAAAATATCATATTAGTGGTCCGCAGGATTTAAAAGAATGAGTTTGGTGGTGGCTGAGGTCCAAACGGTTGGCGACCCCTGATCTATGGGCTTAACCAATAAACCCATCGCCCAATACACACATCAGCAACTGGTTCCTCCCACTCTCTGCCTGTCAGCAGGTACAAAACCCTCCATAAACTTTTCCTTCCCATCAAGTGTTTAGATAAACTCCCATTTGCACCATCCAATGTCCTGTGTGCCTTCCCAGGGATCAGTCCGACTGAGGACCATGAGGCTGATTTTCGATTCAGAGGACTGTAGACTTCTTAAACTGAACCAAACCATATGAGGAGATGGCACGATTTAATTTGCAACTCTGCAACAATTTCTGGGGGGGGGGCAATAATTCCTTCACTTCCAACTGTCCCCCTCCGTGGATTTGTGGTATCTCTACTCTTGCTATCTTTCTCCACCGCTTTGCATGAGTTAAAACAGCCAGAATTGACTGGAACAGAAATCAGGAGGTGGAGATTGTTTCAAGGAAACTCAACAGAGAGTTGATGGGAGGATAGACTAAGAGTGAGATCTGGGACCCATTGACCAGTTTTAAGCCTTTTAGAAGTTTCAGTTTCCAGCCTAATGTATCATTTTAATTTAAACAAACTCAAGACCAGTGATGGGATTCAGCCAGTTTGCACCAGTTCAGGAGAACCGGTTGTTAACTTTCTGAGCAGTTTGGTGAACTGGTTGTTGGAAGAAATCATTAGGGCAGAGAACCAGCTGTTAAATTATTTGAATCCCACCACTGCTCAAGACCAAAGGTAATCCGTAAAACAGAGAGCCACTAAGTGGGTCTTGTGCATTTCTGTGCCTTTTCATGACTTGGCACCAGGAGCCGACGGCTAGACAAGGTTCACCACTCTTACAACGGCAAACATCTAGAACTGTTTGTGGTTTTGATCTGTTCATCACGGATTATGCTTTCCCATGAAAGGATTTTGCAGCAGGGAAGTGAGGTGGGGCAGGACACTGAGTGAGTTAGATGGGCGGGAGCACCACCCTAAACTCCCTAGGGCCCATCAGCTTGGGATGGACAAGCAGAAGAAGCTGAAGAAGGGCCACCTTTGTTCTTTCATGCAATGCTGTCCATGTCTGCTGACTTTGGGGAAAGTGTCTTCAGGTTTCTGCAAAGCCAATTTGTCCAGGAATGAAGGCGATGTCCATGCATGATGAGGCAGAAGCAGTCCAACAACTGCAACACAGGGGAGCTCCAAGGAAGAACTTTCTTTTGTTAAAAGTGGAGTCCCTTCATCCACCCCTCCTGTCTTTGGTCCTCTTGCCTGAACTTGAGGCTCAGACGGGTTTAGTTCTGGGAGTTGAAGTCCCCATGACGGAAAGTTGCCATGGTTGGGAAGCCTTGCTCTAGGGCCTCATGACCTTCCCAGGCGAAGCATCTCTTGGGGACCTTAAAACCTCAGTTCCCAGCCTTTCTCTACCAAGTCTACCAAAGAATCTGAAGGATAACAAGAAGCAACGGATGGGAACTAATCAAGGAGAGAAGCAACCTAGAACTAAGGTGAAATTTCCTGACGGTGAAAACAATTAATCAGTGGGACAGCTTGCTTTCAGAAGTTGTGAGTGCTCCATCATTGGACGTTTTTTAAGACACTGGACAACCGTTTGTCTGAAATGGTACAGGGTTTCCTGCTTGAGCAAGGGTTGGGCTAGAAGACCTTCATGGTCCCTTCCAATTCTGTTATTCAGTTATTCTGTTGAGTGGAGGCAGCTTCCTTCCTCTCTCAGCGTTTTACAAGCAACAAAGGCTGATGTTCTTCTGAGAGTCACACTTCTCTCTGCCACTCATGGGGAGGGTCTGTTTCCATTCCTGCCTCTCTTTTTCTTCTCCCTCAACTGTTCTTCCTGCTTTTCTATTCTTCTGTGCTTGAATTTTAAACCTACAGGCTTCCAATACATTCGTGTTTCCACTTTTGAATCTATTTTTACCACAAAGCAGTTACAAAAGGACCAGCAACCATCTCCTTTGCTGTGACTCACACAACTATCCAACAAGCCTTTGTATTGTTTAACACCTTTAAGGTATGCAAAGTCATTGTGATACTTTTATAAAATACACCAAGGTCAAAATCATTATTTTAGATATCAGAGAAGTTATTATCACTGTTAGGAATATAAGTCACCTAACAGGTATTTGGGATGGAAATATATAAACCAGGATAAACATTTTAAAACTGTCTCTTTAAGAGCATGCTAAAAACTGCAATTGGGTGTGGTTACTCAAGCGGCCATAAGATGGAGCCAGAAACCTGGGTTGTTTAGTGTTAGTCTCAGAAGAGTCTCAGTGAAGTGAGTGAGTCTCTGTTTCCTTCTGTTGGAAAGTATTGCCATTCCTCCATTTTTCCTAATTGACTGCTATTTCTGGATTTGATGTAAGTCTGTTACTGAACTGTTTTTGACACTGGACTTTGTTATTGGATTATCCCTGGATGAAAACTGACTGATTTTACCTGTGAATGACTTTTGGACTGCCTATTTTGGACTTTGCTTAACGTTTCTGGAAGTAAAAACCTACATTTACTGTACAGTGTATGTGTGTGCTGTATATGTGTATTATTCAAACACTACTATCAAATATGTCTCCCTGTATGCGTTTATTCTCCTAACGGGGAATTACTTCAACACTGGTTATGGGCCCAGGCCATACCAGGCTCAGATAACTGAGAGTTAGTGTGAATGCATGGTACTGTATACAGACAGCTGTTTACTGTTTAATTGTGGGTTACTATCCTGGTAAAGATGGCACAAGACACTTCAACAAGTCTATCACTGATAACCTGGTTGGATGGAACAAACTATGTTTCCTGGTCTATGAAGTGCAGTCTACTTCTGCGTAGAGAAGGTTTATGGAATGTAGTTCAAGACCCAGCGGATGTAAATGCTTGGGATCCAGAAAATGAGGACGATGCCAAGAAGCTTGCTGACTTTAAACAGAACAACGAACGAGCTCTTTGTATAATTGGACTAACACTGAGTGACCAGCAACTAGTCCATATTCGTGGAGAAGAGTCTGCTGCTAGGTGTTGGGAGAATTTGAAGAAAATTTATGTTCGTGACAGTGTAGGTGCACACATACATCTTACACGTAAACTGTTTAGAGCACGCCCTCTGAAAGGTGGAGATATGTTAGCTCATTTAAACTTCATGAAAAGAACTTTTCAAGAGCTACATGAAAAAGAACTGATATTTTCAGAGCTGCATCAAGTTTACATCATTCTTTCCTCGTTGGATAAAAGTTATGATGATTATGTATCTTCACTGGAAGTCCTGCCCAGAGATAAACTGACATTGACTGACATAATTGGAAGATTGTTAGAAGAAGCAAGAAGACGACTGGATAGGGACCAACTGAGGAAGGAACAACCACAAGAAGAGGATTTATCTTCAACTGCCTATACTGTTAGGAAATGTTTTTCTTGTGGGGCTAGGGGACATATAGCTAGATTCTGTAAGAAGGGAAAACAACAGAATACTGGTAATCACCAGAAGGCCAAGAAGAATGTTAGTTTAGCTATGTCTAGCAATTCAACTGTAAACCATGATTTGTGGGTTGTTGATAGTGGAACATCACAATGCATTACTAAAGATAGAAACAGGTTTGTAAAGATGTCCATGAGTAAACAACATGTATCATTGGCAAATGGATGGAAGATGAACGCATCAGGTGAAGGTACTGCATATTGTCCTTGTATAACATTTAACTATGTTATATGTACCTAAACTAAAATTTAATTTATTATCAGTAAGGGCTTTAATCTTGGTTATGTAGTAACCTTTAGGGGAGATAACTGTATAATAGAGAAAGAGGGTAAAAGTGTTACTGCTACTTTAGAGAATGATTTATATGTAATACATGATGACCAATTGAACATGGCTAAGTTTATAACAATGTTAAGCCACATGATGAATGTATACATTTACTGTATAGATATCTAGGGCATATTAATTTCAAAATGCTCAAACAAACTGTTGAATTGTCAGAGGGAGTAAAATTGAAACCCTGTAGCAAGTATTTACACTGTAATGCTTATAGTCAGGAGAAAAGTAAGGTTACTCCTGCAAACAGACTAAATGGGTTTAAGACCAAAGAACCTTTAGAGGTTGTGTTTGCTGACATAATTGGTCCTAAGAAACCAAGTTTAGGAGGTGCCTGCTATATTTTGAGTATTATGGACGATTACTCACGATACGGTTTCTGCTATCTTATGAAAAACAAAACAGAAACATTCCAACATTTCTTTAACTGGCTAAGGCTTTTTGAGAGAAAAATGAAAAGCAATTACTTTAGTTACTGATAATGGGACTGAGTTTGTTAACAAAAGATTCCAAACAATGTTGAAATTGGCTGGTGTTGAGCATAAACGTTCTGCACCTTACAGACCACAACATAACTCGTTTGTAGAACGAAGAGGGCAAGCCATGGCTCGTACTATGTTATCTGATTCAGCTTTACCTGAAACACCGTGGGGTGAGGCCATAATGTGTAGTCACCATGTTTTAAACAATGTAGTAAATACAACAACTGGAGAATTGCCATTCACTCGTTGGCATGGCAGAAAGCCAAATTTAAATTACCTACATACATTTGGAGCTCCACCATGGGTGCAAATTCCCTCACAAGTAAGACTGAGAGGGCAACATAGAGCTAAGAAGTTATTTTTGACACTGTTTTTGACACTGGACCTCGTTATTGGATTATCCCTGGATGAAAACTGACTGATTTTACCTGTGAATGACTTTGGACTGCTTGTTTTGGACTTTGCCTAACGTTTCTGGAAGTAAAAACCCACATTTACTGTACAGTGTATCTGTGTGCTGTATATGTGTACTATTCAAACACTACTATCAAATACGTCTCCCTGTATGCGCTCATTCTCCTAACGGGGAATTACCTCAACAATCACCTCCAATGGGTATTGTCAAAAATCACCTCTTATCAGCCCTGCCCTGCATTAAGGAAATTTGCATATAGATACAATTCTGCCAGATCATTTATTCAATCTCTTATTACTCAACTCTGTTCTACAAATAGAGAAGCAATTATTGCTTCTCCTGTAATCTGCATCTGTATATCTCTTTTTTTGGACTGTAAAGTTTTAAAAGCATTTTCCTTCACTGCTTCTCACACATGTATTTAAGCTTGGCTTAAATAAATACATTATCATCATCATCATCATCACTATAGTTTTTTTTTTTATAAAACAAAAAAGACAAAGTAGTTTACAATAATTAAAGTAATATTTAAAAGCAATTGAAAACAAAAATCCCATGTTAATCCCTGTGCTCCCCAATTTCCTTACCAATGTCTGTCCTGCAGAATTTTAGAGGACGGTTTTGGAAGTAAAAACAGATTATTTTTTATGAGCCATGTTGGATATTTTTACATTTTATAGTTCTTTGTCCTTCCACTGAACTGAGTCAGGTTAAATGCAGGCATGCTGGAGAGTCAACAGCTTATACAAACCCAACTCTGCAAATGGTAACTTCTATTTTAATTCTTTTTGAAATTAGTGTAATTTATTCCTCTTGTGGTGAATACACAGAACTGAACTATCTAATTTGCACAATCCTGGCCTTCAATTTTCCCTACACAAAAGATGCTGTGTGTGCAAATATTACAGTTCTAGAGATTCCCTATTTCTCGCATAGTCTACTCTAATATGTAAAGTTAGAAACTTGCCAAGATGCAATAGCTGTTTCTATGATTAGAATGGAAATATATATTTGTGTTTTTTTTTCAATCCTAACTGCAGGAAAGGGGCTGCAAACTTTAGCCATGGGTGCTTCAGTTATTATGTGGCTCTCAAAAAGTGAAAAACCACAAAATTGTTCCTACTCTTAACTGCCTGCTAAACTGAAATAGAAAACAATTCCCACATAAACCATTGCCAACGTGTTTTCTCGTACTATGGCATGAACTTGAGGAGTTTATCTGAAGAGACCAGGCTGATGGCGGATATATGATTATTCTTAAATTCCTTTTAATACATTTGCTGGATTGCAGCTGTAAGTCATTTGGCAGTGAAATGCCACTGCAGGAATTGATCTTCCCACTCAAAAGAGATGCCAGCTCCTTTTACAGTGGAGTTTTAGTTCTTTAAAGCAAAGGTCTTGTAAATCAGAGGTTGCCAAGGTTGGCAACTTTAAGACTTGTAGAATTTAAACTCCCAGAATTCCTCAGCCTGAAGTCCACAGGTCTTCAAGTTGCCAAGGTTGGAGACCCCTGTTCTCGTTTATAGATATGAAAAGCTTCTCTTTGGAAACCTTTCCACTTATCGCTCAGGGAGACCACCGGGAGTGAGCCTGCTCTTTCCACAGGCCAGGTGTGTCTCTCTCCCTCCCTCCCTGCTGCCTCTCCCTTGGGCAGGACTTTCTGTGCCTTGAGAGCCAGTGAGGATGGTCAGCCTGGTTGCTGGGAGTCATTTTGGAGCCCCTTTTATTGGCTTGTTGCTCATTTAGGTTTTGCGTCACTTGGCATCCCACAGGTGCTTTTGCAAAAGGCAAGTGGGCTTCCTTTGGTTTGGCTTGAAGACGTTTCGCTTCTCATCCAAGAAGGTTCTTTAGTTCCTCGGTTCTTCTCAGAACTGAAGAAGCATCTTGGATGAGAAGCAAAATGCCTTCAAGCCAAAACAAAGGAAGTCCAGTTGCCTTTTGTCAAAGCACCTTTGGGACACCTGTGACCTGGATGCCTGAGAATCCCCATAGACATAAATGGACATCTTAGAAAGACATTTAGCAGATGCTGAAGGACACCAACTTTGGATTTCCCTAGGACACACCAGCATTATAAAACTATTTCATCTTATTTTAAGATAGATTCATTTAACCTGAATTAAACTTCCCATATTTTTAAAATCTTTCCTTAAAGGAAACAGCTGGTCATCTGAGAAGTCAATGAACTTCCTTTGACTCCATCGCTGCTGCTTCTTTACTTCCTCTTTTACTGCTGCTTGTAAAGGTGTTCAAGGATCCTTCCTCCACCATTCCTGAGGACCAGAGTCCCTATTTATTTACTCATCATATGTAATCCAAGCCCCAAGAGACAAACAGCCCAAGAAAGAAGGAAATAATTGAAAAAGAGAAGGGGGAGGGGGAAGAGATACCACCAAATGGTAGCTGAAGAGATACAGAAAACTCTTTGGTGTCTCCTCATGGTCATTGGGGTCTAGCTCATGTCCATCTTTTTGCCTTTTGTCAAAGCACCTTTGGGACATCCGTGACCTGGATGACCGAGAATCTCCATAGACATAAATTGACATCTAGTGCAGATTGTAAGACACCAACTTGGGATTTCCATAGGACACATCAGCATTATAAAACTATTTCATCTTATCTTAAGATAGATTAAAATAAACATAAGGGTCAGATATTTCTTTCCCTTTTGGCAAGGCAGACTTACTTGCAAGCAGCCCCACTCCACTGGCCAGGGATCCGACCCAGGCGGTCTTTCCTTTCCCTTCTCCAAAGAGGTCCAGCCATTCCACGTAGAGCACCCCAACCGCCAAGGGCGACCCGTAGCACAAGAACTGGGTGAAGAAGGAGCTGAGGACTATCACCCATCCCCAACCGCCATCGGGGGATTCCTGGAACACCATTTTCCAGCGGTATCCGAGGGATCACGAGCTCTGCAGGGAGAAAGACAAACAAATGGGGGAGGGGGGGAAAGGACACCCCTGACCCAATGCTAGGCATGCCCACTGAAGACCATCATGAACCTGAGCTCAAGTAGGAGAAGAGGAAGAGGAGGACGCAAGGCCTTGGGAACCCATGCCAAGGCAAACCGCCAGCAATTTCTGATTTCCACCCAACTGCTACCAAAAGCTGCATTCAGCATGGACGGTTTTCTCTCACAGCCTACTGGCTGGACCCGTGATGGTGAACCTAGAGCACGCATGCCGGAAGTGGCACACAAAGAGCCATCTTTCCAGGCAAACCAGCTGTTGCCCATTGCTCTTCCGGGTTCTTCACACACACAGTAGCACCGGAAACCGGAAGCGCAGCTGGTCTTCGCAGCTAGTGGTGGGAATCATTTTTTTTTTTACTACCGGTTCTGTGAGCGTGGCTTTGTGGGTGTGGCTTTGTGGGCGTGGCAGGGGAAGGTTACTGCAACATCCCCCTTCCCTCCCCACCCCACTCACCTGCTTTCCAGCTCCGTTCTCCTGGGCAGGGCAACAAAAGAAGACCCAGCCTGGGGACTTCCGGTTTGTCGGCTTCGCGAGCGGCAGGGATTTGCGAAGCTGCGCGATCCCTGCCGCGCTAGCCGTTTTTGGGGCTCCGACCCAGCCGGGTACGGAGCTAGGCTGCCCTGCAGGGGCAGCTGAAGGTAGGGGGGATCCGGAGAAGGGTTTGGGGGTGCTGCAGACTCCCTCCCTGGCCGGCAGAACTCCCTTTTCCCAGGACAGTGCAGCGGCGGTCTGTAATGGCCGCCACAAAGAAGCTGGCAGCCGGGTAAGAATGCGCAGGAGGAAGTGGAGAAAGTGATTGGGAGGAGAAAGTTTTTCTTGGCTCCTAGGACTCTAAGACATATCTAATAAAATTCCTGAAAAGTATGACTTTCTGAATAATACCTGCCAGAAGAGGAAAAAAGCGGCTGTTTGAAGGTGCTGAAAGGATAGCTTTCCCTCTTTTCCTACGGAATAAATAACTGGATATTAAGAAACCTATTTCTTTTAGGTGAAAATTGGTTTTAAGCGATGAGTGGGAAGAGAGAGGATTAAAAAGAAAACATTTGTATGCTAAGACTTTGTTGGAGCAGATGCCTTAAGGATTTGAAGACTAGAATATATTGCAATAAGATTTTAAACAGATTTGGACTTTCTTTCTCTTGGATTGATATTACCCCAGAAGGAGAAAGTGAGAACTCTGCCTTGGTTTGGACTGACTGATAACTTTGGGACTGTTTTATTTTTTCTTTTTTTTCTTTTGAATATTCTGGTTGTTGTAAGAAGAAAGAAGGGGAAAAGAAAAGAAAAGATTTATAATGGCTCTTTCTGTTGAGGAACTAAGAAAAGAATATGAACAAGCAAAAAAAAATGGTAAAGATGGTGTGGAAGAAGCTTTCCTTTTCTTAGAAATGGCGCTTATTAATTATCAACAAACATTACAACAGATGAAGACAGCAGAGGAACAAGAAAGAAAGAAAGGAGCCATTTTTAATGAATCTCAGAACTTGATCCAGAAAGAAGGAAGAGAGAAAGAAAAGAAAAGAAGAGAAAAGAAGAAAATTAAAGGACTTAAGGACTTAAGATCTAAAAAAACATTTAAGAAAGGGAAAAATAAGGTGCAAACCCAATATGATGATAGTAAACAAAAGGGAAAAGGAATACGACAGAGAAGGGAAGCTGGCAAGGCAGAGGCTAGAAGAAGGGGGGGTAGAAAGGTTTGTTGGGAGAAGAAAGAAAGGGAAAAGGTGGAGAAAAGCTACAATGTTTTGAAATTAAATGAAAAAAAGAAATTTTTTTTGGATAATGGATAAAGTATAATTTTTTTAAAAAAAAAAAGATTTTGCAAGGTACATAAGATGAGATGGTAGTATTGTAATGATTTAAGAGTTGATAAGAGATTAAAATGTTAAAATGTTTAAAAATGATTGGCTTTAAAACTTAATAATAGGGGAGGTTTAGAATATTGTTTTAATTAAAGAGTTTAATAAGACTATGGTATTGATGTTATTATAAAATTTTTATTATAGTATCTTTTTTTAATATTTGGATTTATTGTCTAATTATGTACTTAATTATGTTGGATGTATTAGTTAGATAGAATGTACCAAGCAAAATCGGATTGGGTATTAGATATTATTTTAAAGATTAATTTGATTAACTTAGGGGGGAGATAGAAAGGCATCATACTCTGATTAATGATTTCAGGAGAAACTTATTTTCTTTTTTTTTATAAGGAATGAGACAAAGGGATGATAAAAAATGGACAAAAGATATATATATAATGATTCAAATTAAGATGATTAATTAAGATAGAAGTAAGAAGTGTGAAATATGTGGGGAAGTTAATATAGAAGGCTTAGAATGGTAAATAAAATAAGTAATGATATGTAAGATGAGCATGAATATAATTGAAGTCCATGAAGAGAGAGACACCTGGGTCCAAGTTACTTTCCAAAAAGATTTTTTTTATGTTTTGTGTGTTGTGTGTATATGTCTTTTTGGGGGGAGAATTAGTTAAAAATTGTAGAAATATAGATTGAGAATAATGGTAACTAAGTCAGAAAGAAACAGATGAAATAATAATAATGATATTGAATAAGAGTAAAGAGAAGTAAAGAGAAATTGAATAAGAGGTTTTGGTATGTTGTATGGAAATGGTTTAAAACAGAATTATAATTTATCTGACTTGTTAAATTGACAATGAAAAAAGGTTTAAACATGTAATGAATAATGACAATTTGTGTGTTTTAAAAATTAATAAAACTTGTTTTTTTTTTTAAAAAAAAAGAAGACCCAGCCTATCAGCTGGGACTCGGGAGGCAGGGAATAGATGGGGGCGGGGCCAGTCAGTGGTGGGATTTGCCGGTTCTCTAAACTACTCAAAATTTCCGCTACCGGTTCTCCAAAACTGGTCAGAATCTGCTGAATACCCCCTCTGCTTTAGACACCATGCGTGTTAGAAATCAGAAGACCGGGTGGCTGGCACAGATGTGTGTGCCAGGAAGGTGAGCTTCCAGTTTCCAGCACTCCTCTGCGGTGCGCCAGGGAGCTACTCTTTTGGTTTCCGGCACACACGCACACACTCCTGTATTGGCCCTTGTTGCCAAAAAGGTTCGCCTTCGCTGGGCTACACTATGGTCTGCCCAAGCTACGACTTTGTCAGCCAAGTGGAACATCCCTAAAGGTGATGCCACAAAAGCTGCCTCTTCCTGTCCCTCTCATCCTGAATGAACTCGAAGCTGTGGGGCCACCTGGCCTTGGCAGCTTCCATACAGATTGCTGAGCAGGCTTTGGGGCCTGGACAGCTCCCTTCCTTGGTTGCCAGTGTGAAGGTTTGAACATCTATTCTAGACCAAGGGTCTCCAAACTTGGCAAGTTTAAGACTTGTGGACTTCTACTCCCAGAATTCCTGAGCTAACATGACTGGAGGAGGAATTCTGGGAGTTGAAGTCCACAAGTCTTAAAGTTGCCAAGTTTGAAGACCCTTGCCCTGGCGTATTGACTGCTCCTGTGTGCTTTGGCTAATTGGTCCACAAGTCTTCAAGCTGTCGAGTTTGAAGAGCCCTGCTCTAGAAGGACCACCAGCGATGCTTCTTGCAGGTAGGGCCTTTCGTTTGCAGGAGAAAAGTGGCCCTTTGGAGCAGCATCCCTGGGCCAGGGCAAAAGTCATGCTTGCCACCATCTACTCCTTATCCACTCCTTAACCCAAGGAGAGGATCCTATCTACTTCTTTGTGAAATGCTGCGCACTAGAAAAGACATGAAGCTCTTGAATATTTCTGCAGCTAATTTTGATTCGGGGATGTGTGTTGGCACTGAGATGGGTCACATCCAAGCGGCCTTTACCCTTCTGACCCCACAGTCTTGTTGCCCTTCCGCACTCCCAGATCTGGGCCTTCACAAAGCAGCCGACTAGAAATTAACAGACTTTCCAGGGGACGATGCAAATTCTTGAAACGTTAATGTTAAAAAGTCTGAGCTTCTCTTCCTTAAAGGGAGCTGGGTGCCCTGTCCCATTTGGTGAACCAAATAACATTCCTGGAGAAGGACTTTGGATTACTGCTTACATTAACTTAAAAGGAAGATAAGCTGGCTGCAAGGTAGAAATGAATTGTCCTGCCCCCTCCTGCCCTTATAGCAAGCATTAACGTCCCCATCAAAAAGCTCAACTCTCTAATTTTAAGCAATCCAAAGCAGGTTCCTTCCAAATTCTCCTCTGTGGCCCAATAACCTGTCTTTCCTGAGTGCTTCTTCCCAGAGAAGTGATACAAGTTGATAAGGCTGTTCGCCTATACCTCCTCAGCCCTGGGGCAAAATTTCTTTCCCAGTACTGCAGCTGTGCATTATATACTGTGATATCTAGACCGCAATGGGAAGGAAAAGGAGCTCTTCTTGAACATGTATAACATCAAGCATGAAGAAAGTAAAAATGCTTAAAAGCTGACCTTTTATTTCCTGAAATATTATTTTGCTCCAATTAGCCAAAGCACAGAGGAGCAGTCAACATGCTAGGCCGAGGTCTTCAACCTGGGCAACTTTAAGGCTTGTGGACTTCAACTCCCAGAATTCCTCCTCCAGTCATGTTAGCTCAGGAATTCTGGGAGTTGAAGTCCACAAGCCTTAAAGTGGCCAAGGTTGGAGTCCCCTGAACTAGAAGACGCATAGTCCTCAACTTGCAACGGTTTTAAAGTTACCAAGGTTGGAGATCCCTGCGCTAGGACATATCAACAAGTCAGAATGTTTTTCTCCTTCCATCCACACATGGGGGAAAGGACCCAGAACACAAGAGATAGCCTCACCACCCTATATTCGGACCTGCTTTCTCCTTGACTTGTTCCACTGAAACATCTTGGCCCAGAAGTGCACAAATGAATCCTAAAAGATTCCTGAGGAACATCAGGAGGGCTGAGACGGTTCTTCGGAAGACCCAAAACAGCCTTGGGGGTCCACCTGCAGCTGTTCCCAGGGTGGTGTGGCTGCCTCTGCAGCTGCAGTGGGATCCCAAAGACGACAGGTTTGGCTTAAGAACTGGCCACCCTGCATGTTGCCCTGGAATGCATTTGAGTAAAATAGAGCGGGTCTTCTAGTCCAACCCCCGATCAAGCAGGAGAACCCATACCATCTCAGACAAGTGACTGTCCAGTTTCTTCCTCCAGGGATGGAGCATCCACAACTTCTAGTGGCAAGCAGTTCCACTGGTGAATTGTCCTCACTGTGAGGAAGTTTCTCCTTAATTCCAGGTTGCTTCTCTCTCTTCTTCTTGTCCTGCTTTCTGGTGCTTTGGAGAATAATTTGACCCCCTCTTTTTTTGTGGCAGCCCCTCAAATACTGGAAGACTGCTAATCATGTCACCCCT